AAGTTTAAAACTATCTCCTTTTGTACTGTTTGCTACCGTCACTGTGACTTTTTGTCTAGAAACACTTGAATATCTTGCTGCGTTTTCTGGTAGTCGGCCACCATGATGTGTCCACCAGTGGGACGTGTCATGATGGTGACTTGTTTGGAGTTGACCATTGAGGCAGGAAGCTGGTTCTCATGTATCTTGCATTGTGGATCATCCTCAGCTGCCAAGTACAGAATGGATGCCGCAATCTTGGACAACTCTTGGGCGGTGAGGCGCAGGGACATGGCGGATTGGACATCCAAACAAAAGCCTTGAAACCGGTCCGATACGGGAAAAAGCGTGTCCAGAAATACACTGACCAACTGTTTGGCTTCATTCGAGGTGGCGGGGGTGACACCACACATGGAATTTCCAAATCCAACCTGGATGGATGCCCACTTGACAAATTCGGAACCAAAAAACACATTCAATACCCATTGAGGTGGAGCGGGCAGAGAAGGTTTTTGAGGAGACTTTTCGTCATCGCCCGCATAGGGAATCCAGGGTGATAACACGACGATGGATTCCACCATTTGTGGATAAAGACTCGCAAACTGGAGTGTCATGACGCTACCCACCGACATGCCCAACAGCAGAGAAATCTTGGGTATACCAAGAGTTTCTTGCAAGAGCAGCTGCAAGTCCTCACATTGTTCCTGCACCGATGACACGGCCGTACTCTGGAGGTATCCCGACCTGGAAATGGAAATGATTCGATACCGATTGGGTGGTAGCAACTTGGTTGCCAAGATGAGACCTTGATCGTGCCCTCCACCAGAGGCATGCAACACAACTGCTACGGGAACATTGTCGCCATCGTTGTCAATCGAAGGTTCTTGGATGGAATATTGTAGTTGAATGGGAGTTCCATCCGATCGGGTTCGTATCGTCGCAATCGAGCTGGATCTCATTTCTAGCAAATCCTTGTATCGCCTGGAATCATCCCGAAAGGATTGATAGATCCGCAAAGCTGCCAAAGAAGCTGCCACTGCTGCCGCAGTCGACACATAGTCCATTGCTTTCATTGCCATTATTGCACAAACAAAAAGGTTTCTGAACTCGACGGAGCCTGTTCCGACAAAGAAAGGTGAAAGATAGAAGGATCTTTGGATCCCGCGCTGCGAACCTTCGAGTGACAGTCGCTTCATTCGTACCGAGCTCACGAATGAAATATCCTTTCTGAGCAACTTTAGAAGTACTGTAGATCTAGCATCTTTCGCAAGTGAAGATCATGATACCAAACCACGAGCGCAGTCACCTCAGGTCGAGAACTCTCTGGATCTGCATGAGCTACTAGTAACCGAGGAGTCATAGAAAAGGAAAGCTTCATCCAGCTCTTGCGCCCTTCTCACAAAACAAAAAAGCGAAAATAAATCTCAAAACAAGCAGCCAAAACAGCCAACTATCATTATTTGAACATATCTTCTATGAAAGCCATTCAATGCAAATATGGAGGAGCCCAATCCTAAAGTCCAGCCAAAACAGCCAACTATCATTTGAACACATCTTCTAGGAAAGCCATTCACTGCAAATTTGGAGGAGCCCACTCCCAAAGTCCAGCCAAAACAGCCAACTACTATTTGAAAGCAATTCATTGCAAATATGGAGCCCGCTACAGTCCAGCAAGTCTGTCTCTTGATTCTTACATATTTACTCTGCTTCTTGACTAATCAAGGTGCAGTTTCGTCGGCCAGCTCAAAATAATGTCGACGATGCATTGATCCCCTCTGGAGGTTTGCTCGTTGTGGATGGAAGTACGGTACCACCGTAGCTAGTTGCTGCTGACTTTTGCTGCACGTTTTGCAATGCGTCCTTCGGTCCATTCGAGCAAAAATTTCACCACATTGTCTTTGGCAGGATCCGCCAACAAGTCATGATAGGCTCCTGGTTCTCGACGTACCGCCCGCTCTTTCACGGGAGCATGTTCGTCCAGATAATTGGTCCCGTCAATGGGGACAGCCCGGTCATTGTCTCCGTGCACGACACAAAAGGGTGTCGTTTTCAATGCCGGAATGGCCGTGTCGCGGCACGCATCGAGTGCATCCAATAGTTGCACCGCGGTTCCCAATCGAAACTGCGTCCCGGATCCGCCAATGTACGGTTCGGGCGTTCGATCGAGGTTGCGTTGTCGGAGGGTTTCATCGCGCCATACATTTTCCGGTGACACGGGATGGGGCATGAAAAAGGGTTGCCAACGGGGCGCCAATCGAGCCAGAATTTGTTTTAAAATAAACGTGACGGGAGCGGGTGGTAGATCTGCCGCGATAACGGCCGGAGCCAACAATAAAATGCTGTCGAGTTGGGGTGGAAGAGCCTCGTTCTCTTCTTGTTGTGCCGCCAAGTGCAACGTGAGACATCCACCGTAGGATTCTCCCGCGCAAAACAGTGGTACACTGTCATCATCATCATTGTCGTGCAGCGAAGCGACATGTTTTAGAAAATTGGTATAATCTTGTAGATTGTTTTGCCATGACGTGACGAAATGCCGTCGTCCCTCGGAATACCCATGTCCGTAGAGATCCAAGGAATACACGGTATAGTTCTTTTCGCCCACAAACCGGTCGGCAATGAACGCCATGTTGGTTTTCGTGACGGTAGTATTGCCATGATCCACAATGTGAGCACCACCACCAAAACCTTGAATCCCGTGCATCCACACAATGATTCCCCTCAGTTCAGCTGTTTCCTCTTTGGGTAGAAAGCGTCGATAATGCAACCTGGCACCGTCTTTTTCCACCGAATCCATCCAGCCGTGTTGGCAGACATAATTATTCGTGTCGTCGTCAAACACGTCTTCCAATTCTTGAATGGCGGGAATCGATGTCAGATGAGGCGGTAGCTCGGTGGAAATCGTGGTATAGTCAAAATGGTCGTCGACGTGTCGTTGGCTATTATTTCGACGAAAGCGGCCAAAGAAACCCAACGACGTGCTGCTGTTGCGGTTGGATTGTTGTAGAAACGGCACAAAGGCCGTACTCGTGTGGGCACTGATGAGGATCAGTATCGAGATTAACAAGAGAATACCCTGCATACCAGAGGGCTTCATCATTGGGAGGAAGCACCGTTGCTCTCGTCGTGTTGCCGCCAACATCTTGATACAGTATGTTGAATAACAATGAATCGAATCCACACGCTCGGTGCTCTTTTTGGATCCTGGGGATGGGCAAATCTTGCAATAGCCCTGTATTGTAATGGATGTGACTGGCTAAAATCAGTTAAAAAGACAAAATTCGTATTTTTGCCGGAAGATAAATTTAATTGGATTAGATTGGATTGCATTGCATTGAATTGGATTGAATTGGATTCCAATTAGTACTGTTATTAATATAGTAAACTGTAATTCAATGCAATCCAATCTAATCCAATGCAATCCAATCAAATCCAATAGAGAAAAACAGCCAAAGTATAAGATTGGCTTAGTGCACACAATTTTTACAAAAACGCTCTAACAAATTCAAAACAGAGCCATGGGCAAGTTTGCTCATCCCCCCACAACCCCAGCAAGCGACGACGTCTACCAGTAGCTGCTGGTTCATATCCTTCTTGGAGCGTAGCGTGGGTTGGCACGTTGGCAGCTCAAAGATCGGCATGCCAATCTTCAATATTTTCAAGCCGACAGAGCTAATCCAGGTTTTTGGAATGTGCACGACCTTCGGGTTCTTTGGGGTGGGGCACTTCAACTTTCTGTGTGCATACCGGTACTAACTGGCTAGCTAGCTCTAGTAAAGGAAGAGGAGAACAGCACAAGAACCAGCAGGCACACCAGTCCGTAGCTGGTCCCGACCGCAACGGTACATGAAGCTGGTTAACACTTTGGAAAATAGAGCTCTGCTTCCAGGCTGCTCACAAACCAAACCAAAACACAAACAATAACAACAAACAATACAACCACCACCCCGAACAATAACATTCAAAGCAAATCATGAAAGCTGCTAGAGTTGAAGGAACTGCCACACCCGTTGTGATTCGACCAGGCGCATCCGAAAGATCCTGGCGTGGTACATTTCTATCATCAGTAGACAACAACCACAATGATGATGACATCACTTCCTCCTCTTTGGACGAGTCTGTGGAGGAGATGATGACATTTGCAGAACGAAAACGATTCCTGACGGCTAACAATGGAAATGAGGAGAAGGCCATGGCCCAATTACAGGCATATTTGGAAGCCAGAGATGAATTTCAGGGCACTCAGCTGCAACTAGAAGTCTCGTATCAAAGCCTGATTGATAGCCATGGAAGGGACTATTATGACTGGATGATTGCCTCGGAGACTGCCAAAGAAGCCTATAATGAGGACAAAAGTTCTGCAATGTTGCCAAGGATAATGCGTACTCATATCATGGAAGACGGCAAGGAGGCTTGTGATCTCGAGGGCCACAGGATCCTTCATGTGCTCCCTGCCCAAATAGACCCTGCCCTCTTCAGCCTCAAAACGTATGCACTTGCCATTGCCTTGTACCTGGACCGGAAAGTCAGTCGCGAATCTGTGGAAACGCTTACCGTTCTGTTGGATGTCCGTGGAGGAGCAGGCTGGGCCAATCCCAAAGCATTCAATCTCATGCCATTCATTGAAGAGACCTGTAGCATTTTGATTTCCATGTTTCCAGAACGCATGCACAAGACAATCATTTATCCACTTCCCTACGCTTTGACATGGACACTCCAAAGCATTGTCAGCAGTGTTTTGGATGCCAAGACAGTGCAAAAGCTAGCAATTTTGTCGGGACAAACAGGAGTTGATGCGCCAATGCCCAGACAGAAACTTCTGATTCATGTAGATGAAAAGGTGGCATCGATCTGTGAACGTGAACGTCTAGAAGCCTTCACCATTTGATTGGAGTGACAGAGTGGCTGACAGACAGCAAACGAACGCCCTATGCCAGCCAGGCCAGATGAATGTACTAGTATTACATCACAATAGATAGATAGATCCTTACAAAAACATAAACTAAATAGACGAATACAAGTTCCGCTCAATGTGCACATCCACTTCTGCACGCATGTTAGTTAGTCTGGCAGTCCACTTCAGACAAGAGTCAGGCGACATGTCGTGTGTTGCTACTCGCTGGCTAGCTAGCAGCCAGGTTTTGCTTGTTCATCGCGTTTGCTGGCTGTGTGTAGATTCTCTGTTTCGTTTCTCGCGTGGTTCAAGGTTTCGCGGTGCATTTTGCTGGCTTTGCTCTCGGTTGTGCTTAGGCTGCTATCACCTATGGTAGCGGTAAAGCTAGAGAAGTACAGGCAGGTTTCGTACTATCTTTCGCCGCATGAGGATTCCGCTGAGCGGCACCAGTTAGTTTTTCTGTAAATTGTATAGTACTACTTTTCCTCCAATACCGTCATGGCTAGACTGCTTTATTTTCACACAACGAGCGAACGGGCGGTGCCTTTGAAATTTTCGTTGACTTGCCGCCCTTGCAAGACCAACGACGACTAACTCTCACTTGTCTCTTTGCATTTTCACTGGCTACGGGTCCGTCCCAAAGTTCGCCTTTGTTGGAAACCAAAGACACGTGGCACCTGTACCAATTCATTCAGGCTGCATAGATTTTCTACTGGGTGTGCGTACCGGTACGGAGGAGCTCGGTACCGTAGGATCTGCTGTGCTGATGAGGGTGGTCTTATTGAGGTGCACGAAGCGGAACGTGGAAGGCGTTCAATCAAAGATCCAAGACGGCAGGCCTGTTTTTCAGCGACTAACGGAGCTCTTAACGGTATCATGATCAACCCGAAAGCACTGCTCCATGCAAACTGTGTATTCACTCATCTTATTTCATCGGTTCAGCAGATACCGGTACTGGTGTCTTATCACAGCATTGCCACTGCTACAGCAGCTAGCTTGCACTTTTTTGTGGTCACAATTCCAGCAACAACCAAAACACAAACGCACCAAACAATAGTACAGAAGCCAACCTCAACGATGAAGGCACCCAAAATTGTACGAAAGCTCTCTCCTAGGCGTATCTTTGGAACCAAATCCAAGCAGCAAAAGGACACAACCCCGCAAAAGGCAGAAGAAGCTCCTGTTGTTATCAAACCAGACACTCCTATCGTCATCAAGCCCAACCTTGCTGAACGATCCTGGCGTGGTTTTCTTCAACCACTTGAAAATGTCGCTTGCTCAAGAACAGTGGGAGACAGCGGCAGTCTGGCCTCCATCGACGAGTCAATGGAAGAGCAAACATCTTCTGAACGAAAACGGTTTCTAGCCGCCAACAATGGCAATGAGAGCAAAGCCATGGAGCAATTGCAAGGATACTTGCAAGCCAGAAATGAACACCAAGGCACTCAATGTCAACTTGAACGCCTCTATGAAAACCTTATTACTGAACATGGACAGGACTACTATGATTGGATGGTAGCCTCTGAGGCTGCCAAGCAAGCACACAATGTTGCTCAGGATACACCATTGCCACGTATTGTCCGTGTCCACACCATGGACAATGGTAAAGAAGCTTGTGACCTTGACGGTCATCGAGTCCTCCACTTTCTCCCAGCACAACTGGACAAAAGCATCTGCAGCCTCAAGACATACACATTGGCCATCTTCCTTTACCTGGATCGAAAGCTTGGCCGTGACTCCGAGGAGCAAGTCACCATCCTCATGGATCTCCGAGCTGGAGCTGGCTGGGCCAACCCCAAGGTCTTCAACATTATGCCATTCATTGAAGACACATGTCAACTGATGCTCAGCAAGTTCCCAGAACGCATGCACAGAGCCATCATTTATCCCCTCCCCTATGCATTGACCTGTGTGCTTCGAGGCATTGTTCGCAATGTCTTGGATACCACAACTTCCAAGAAGCTTGCAATCCTCTCCGGAGCTGCATGGGTTGATTCCCCTTTGCCCAAGCAACAACTCCTCAAGTATGTGGATGAAACAGTAGCAACCATCTGCGAGGATGCTCGCCTGAACGATTTCAAGAACTAACTGTATACATATATCATTCCGCGACCCACTCAGAGCCTCCAATATATATGTCCCGTGAACCAGTAAACGTCCAACAGACCTCCAATAGACAGTAATAGAATAGACACAATTTTGCATAATAAGGAACTAATGATTGACCGGTTCGTTCATTGGCTGCGTAGGAACTGTGAATCTTTGCTGACTAGGTCCTGGCTAAAGTACCTTGTTCGATTGCAATGCATGGTTCCATAAAACCGTCACCACCACTTGGCGGTTCCGACCATCAAGGGTGAACTTTGCTCGCCTAGCTAGTCATTCTGGTTGGAGTTTCCTTCTTGTTGCTGTTGTCTTTTTCTACGTCGTGCCATGATTTGTTCCTTGTACGAGACACCCGAATAGGATCGATCTTTTGGCTTTTCATTGTAGTCTTGAAAGAGCAACATTTCCTCTGGTACCGTTTCGACAAATTCTTGATCTCGATTGGCCCGACGATCGGCCAAATGTGGATTGGCTGCGGGCCCGGTAATTTCTTGAATTCCAGCATCATGAAACACAGCATTGGCTTTATCGTCATCCCCGGCATAACGTGCCAAATTGCGCGTGGTGGAATCTCGTTTGAGTTGTGCAAAGTAAACATCGGCCGTGGTACTGATAATTTCGGCATCGCGATTGCGTCCAATTTTGCGTCCATCGAATCCAATGCCCGGTGGCAAGAAATTCTTTTGATCCGGATTTGGTGGATTGGCATATGGATAGGTTGGCATTTGGATTTTTGCGTAGGACGACGACAAAGCTGGGTGTTCTTGTTGTTGTTGGAATTGCTGTTGTTGGAATTGCTGTTGCTGCTGCTGCCCTTGCTGTCGCAGTGCCATGATCTCTCGAAAGAGCCGTGCCTGGTCTTCCACGGACAGGTCCATGGCATTGGCGGGGATTTGAATATCGGCGTTGGTTTGTTGTTGTTGTTGTGGTTGCATGTACTGTTGCTGCTGTTGCAGGATAATCTGCTGTTGCGCTGCTCGTTCCTGGGCCCGCGCCATGAGACTCCGAAAGAGTTGTCCTCCTTGCGAGGCTTCTTCCTCGGGTGCGTCGTGCGATGCCTTGGCCCTTTGTTTCATATCCTCCGTCAGGACTGCTCCGTCAATGTCCTGCGTGTCGTCGTCCGGGTTGGGTTGTTGTTGTATCATGGGTTGGTGTTGTTGTTGGCCAGCAAAAAAGCCCATTGGGTCATCATCGTCATCCTCCAATGAAATCATATCCGAAAGAGACCGGGGTTTCTGCTTCTGGCCATAGGGATTCATTCCTTGCTGGAATTGTTGCTGTTGAGGCTGACCATACGGATCCTGGTGCTGCTGTTGATACTGTTGCTGTTGATCATATGGGTTCATGGTCGTCGGCTGTGCCTGCTGAGGATAGCTAGGCATTGACTGTTGTTGCTGGGCGTACTGCTGGTTGGGTAGCTGCTGTGACGCTGTATCTGGCGGCGGCAGCTTGGGGGCGTAGGCGTTATCGGGTGGTTTTTGATTGTCATTGTTGCTGTTATCTCCTCCACCTAAAGAGTCCAGATATCCTCCAACCTCAAGAACCACGAGAGGCCGAGGAGTATCTATAGACTTGGAAAGGGAGCTGGTGGTACATGTACCTTGGAATGCATTGGCAAAATGGCAAAAGGCCGTCAATGCTACCAGAAAAGACAGCAAAAGCTTTCGGATTGGCAGCGCCATTCTTTAGAGCTTGAGATATTGGCTGTCTAATAAGAGTGACAGTCAAGAAGACTGGATAGGTTACTTCTAATAACACCAACAACTATTACACAAACCAAGTTGTTCCTTGCTTGTGCACTACTAAAAAGGAAAAGAAGTGAAACATCAACGGGCGAGGAAATGGGAAGTGCGAATAAATGGATCTTTTTCGCTGACGTCCATGTTTGAACTCAGCAAAGCTGCTATTTAAAAGATCCAGACGTGTGTTCGAGGAACTCTCAAAAGCTCCCTATTCTCGGCCATTTTCCATTATTTGACCTTCAATAAGTCAGCGGGAGCTGCGATACCTCGGCAGAAAGACAGATAGAAGAAGGAGGATTATGTTCGGATTGCACCCATCTTTCAAGCTAGCCCTGGCGACAACACCCGTAGTCGGGTGTTGCCGCCCGGTATCATTCATTCCCTCATTGCAACCTTCTTTTTATTAAGCTAGCCCTGGCGACAACACCCGACTGCGTCGTGTGTTGCCGCCCGCTACTCTATAATTTACCAGCTGCCATTCCCTTATTGTAACTCTAAGCTTTACAGCTCCTGCTGGCTTATTGTGCTGTTGTGATGATTGCACTAACCTTAAATATTAATGATTTATTCCTACCCCTAACTTGTATTGAACCATCAATGTTCAGTTTTGTTGGCTTATGACTATCTCTATCCTTATACTTTGGCTTCACCGGAATAGGAAATAGGAAATAGGAAATAGGAAATAGCATTAAAGGGGTTGAGAACTCAGGCAGTTTACCTGCCGAGGTGGAAATAGGAAATAGAAAATAGGAAATAGGAAATAGGAAATAGCATTAAGAGCATTCAATACCGGGGTCACCCATAGCACAAAACCCAAATGGTCGGTGGCTTGACATACTCGCAGCAAGGCTATGCTTGCTCGCGAAAGAGAACCTCAACGCTCATATTGTGATGTTAGAATGATGTCATTGATGATGTGGCAATTCTTCTCCTTAAGTAAATTTGAATCCAATGAGTCAAATGGGTTTGGGTCGGCAGTTGCGGCTACCCAAACAGTGCCGATTTGCGTTGGAGCTTACTCAACCCAATCGCCCAAATCGCATTTGACTCACTGGACTCAGGTCGGCCGGCGATACTCGATGCCAACCATTTGGGTTTTGTGCTATGGGTGACCCCGGTATTGAATGGTCTAAAGGGTTGAGAACTCAGGCAGTTTACCTGCCGAGGTAAAGGGGTTGAGAACTCAGGCAGTTTACCTGCCGAGGACAAACCATGTTGACAACCGTCATCCATACCGGTACACTCCGACGCCACACTTTTGTTGACCCTTTGCGGCTACTTTGGTGGCGATATTGTCATGGATTCTGCTTCTGCTGTCCATCATGGTGGTCTTCCTCTCCCTCTCTACCACTAATAGAACAGTGGGAATTCGCCGTCCATCAAGTCCTCGCCAACAATTCGCCACTGTCGCTCGGGATATCAGAACAACTGCATGATTGCTTGTTGGTGGTACCGTCGGTCGAGACGACAACATGTACTAACAATAATGAGAAGGTTCTCAAGAAGAAGAAGGAGAAGAAGGAAGAGGAACCAATGAAGGAGTTTCCGATTCGTGGACTACCCTGTCCACCCTACTACAAGACGTTGGGACGGCGACTCTGTGCTCTCCACAGCCTGCAACACAACAATATCAAACAAGATCAGTCTTTGCTGATATCACCGCCTGAATATTTTGCCGTGCCTGCCGAAGCGTTGGGATTCACAGAACTCATGGCACCGACCATGGATAGTTTGCCAACAATGGCAGACACAGTCGTCTATCCCACGGTATCAAGTGTCAAGACATGGATACAAAACGCCGGTGATGTTGGAATTGTACGGTTGTTGGGTATGAGACAAACCGTGGGAACCACTACTAAGCCTTGGGTATTTCTCATGCCACCGTGCCGCAAGGACGCACTACTAAAAGCCGCCAATCAACCACACAAGGCAACCAAACTGACTGTGGCCGGACGCGCAAGGTCCAAACATGCTCATCGCGGAACCAAGGATCAATTCTTTGGAATCGCCACGGGATCGAAAGAAACAAAAAACATTCATGCGGCTGCCATTGTCGAACGCATTTTAGACAAAGCCGTGTGGATCAATTTGCACGTGTTTGGTGGTATCGTCGACCCCGTATTGGAATGTCGATTGGAAAATGGATACGGAGCGAGATGGGCCGTCGTGATGGTAGAGGAGGAGAGTGCTGTGGAATTCCGGGGCTTTGTGGAACCACAAATGCCAGATGGACATGAAAAGGGATGGAAACACTAACTAATAGCTACCTGATATATAGGTTGGAGGCCTCCTGTGTAGTTCTGCTTCGAGCCAACTAGCTAGTTGATTCGATTCGTTCAGTGCAATTGGAAGACTGTACCGGTACCAATCTTTTTCCTTTTGGGTTGCCTCCCCTCGATCTCGCGTTGCCATGTTGGCATTGAGGTCATGAACCAAAGGTGTACGGTACTGAACTTTCTTGGCTGACACATCGCTGCAGTCAACACACAGCCAAGGCTTGATCCTTGTACGCATTTGCCGGCGTCTGCTTCTGTTGGTGGCTCATTGGTACCACCTCTATTCTAATAAGGCCACCATTGCACTGACAGGCAAAAGCAGCAGACCGGAAATGGAAAACAGTATAGGGGGGGAGGGACGCTGCTTCGTGATTAACCCGTGACTGAAAAAGCTTGACGACGCAACTCGGTTCTCCGGCGCTCATCATTGATTGAATGATTCGATTCCTTCTTCACTTCTAACCCTGGGCTTCCAATCAGCATGTCCCTCACCCTCTGCAAGCTGCTGCATTGGAATGGGCGTCTCCTGAGCTTGATACTTGTATGGAAGTCACTTGTTTGGCATCTTCAACTTTTGAGACCGACAGAGGGATTTCAGAGGCCGCTTCCAGTTCCCCGTGGCAGCTTGCGAGCATCGTCCCACCATTCTGCCAGCAGCAACGTGCTCGTGTCTTCAAATAAAACAACCACAAGAACTTTCGACGATGACTACCATCACGTGATTTCGTCCAATCTAAGAAGAGCCTTGCTATTGCAGGTTGCTGGATGCGTGTTGCTCTTGCCAGATGTAGGCCATTCACTGGAATCCAAGCCAGAAAAGTACGCTCCAACTCTCGTGTACCGAAAGATCCTGGGCCGCGGAAGCTACAAGACTGTGTACCTGGTGTCATCCACTGATGACGATGATGTTTCTTTTGCCATGGCAGTGGAAAAGGTCAGCTCCAAGCAACAAGTACGGGACGCCATGAGAGGCATACGAATTCCGGAACAACTTGAGAAGAAGCTCATTGGCAGCAGCAACAACAGCAACGATCATTACCCATTGGAACGGATAGAGTCCTGGTGGTTTCAAACTTCTCCGTTGCCCGATTTCGAACCAGGACAGCCCATCACATCACATCATCATCACTTCAATCTACACAAACACAAACACCGCCTACCAAGTTTATGGGGCATTCCTACTGGTTAGTGGCTCTCAAGCCCGTCTATGACATGGATCTGGAGAAATTTCGACAATGCACACCTCGACGGTATCGAGTTCCAGTCACGTCTGCCACTCCAACGCCACCACCGCAAGCAGTCGCAGGTCTGGCCCTTGACGACAGTTCCACAGCACGTCGTTTGGTACGTGAAATCTGCCGGACAGGACAAGATATACATTCCCTGGGACTGGTACATCGGGACATTAAACCAGGTGCGTGCAGGAAATCGCGTGTCACGTCCATTATGATGGCAGCATGCCGCTCACACATCATCTTTTCATGCATCTCCCAGCCAATTGGATGCTGCAAAACGGCCATCCCGTCCTGATTGATTTTGGTTTCTCCCAATTCACAAGTGGCAGCAGCAACGACAACATTTGTGTCGAGGAACCGGGGAAACTTAGGGGAGATCCTCATTACATGGTGGCATCGGATGCTGCGTCGTACAAAGGATGTTCCCAAGGAGATGCGTATGCCATTGGAAAGACTCTCTATGAAGTACTCTTTGGGCCCAAAAACCACCGCCGACGCCGCAACTTGCCAACAGAGTCTTCCTCGTCGTCCTTTTCGTCGGTAGGATCGCAGCAGCAAAGCTCCAGTAGTAGCAGTGACAGCAGCAGTAGCAGCTCTGGAAAAAAGACAAAGTTGGAGCGGATACAGTTGCAAAATGACCGTTTCCGAAGGCTCGTATCCAAAGATCGGGCCTTTCACAGGAGTAGGTTTCGGTTGACAGAACAGGATCACAAAGCAATCTGCCAAGTTATCCGAGGCCTGTGTCAAGAAAACAATCCCTTGTCTTTGAAAGATGCAGTCGGTATGCTTTAGACGGGGGAGTTAGCTATAGCTCCAAGACGCCATGCTATCATCGAAACAACCGAAGTGTGTACCGGTACGAGTGGCACCACTATGCATGCCAAGAAGGACGCAGGAAACTCACTCCGCATCGGACGATGCCCATTCAAGAGTTTCCTATTTGACCTGATGACCTCAATGGCCTTAGAAAACCGGTATCATTTCTTCAATTCCAAAAATGAGACCAAAACAACCTCATCATCAGCAACTCTTCCTTGGAAAACGACATCATCTCCGGACCAATTGCTTTGTAGGAAACATTTCATCCGAAAAACAGTTTAATCTTGACCATCATCAGAAGCCGCAAGGTCAGCCTGCATGTCAAACGACATTGTTCTAGTCTGCTTTGTGGATCTCACGTTGGAGGGCTTTACCGAGTTTCCATGCAAAGCGCGTTGAAATGCCCATTTCCTTGTCTCTCGTGGGAATCCTTCGCGAGCCCGAATGTAGGCAGGCCGAATATAAATGAAAAAGTTGCAGAATCCTTGCAATGGCCTCATGATTGCATTCACCACAAGCAGAGGATAATACCCTCCTCCATCTGGGTCACTGTATGCGTCAGCGATGCGGAGGGCAATGGTCCATATTCCGCAGGCAAAAAAGGCTCCTACATAGAGGAAAGCCTGTGTTGCAACCGCTCTTATTCGTTTCGCCTGAGGATCCATTTCTTGCTGCTGTCGTTTCGTTCTTGTGATACCAGCTTCGTCGACTGTGGATGCTGTCATGGGATTCCTGAATTCCCGAGTATATGCCATGCTGCGTTTTAGGGTAGACCGGACATGGCAAAACACAATGACATTGTTGACTAGAATTGCAACAAAAAAGAGAAAGGAAGGAATCCCCAGGAAAATCCATCCAATCATTCTGGAATAGCACTCTCCTTCTGCATTGCAACCGTAATCTGCCACCCAGCACCCATGTCCCACACCCAAGACATTATAGACACCCAATCCTGCCCCAATACTAGCTGTGATGAGTGGCCAGCCAAGGGAGAACAGATGCATCCACGGCTCATAGGTTCTAGCAAAGTTGTTTTCCAGAACAGCATATCGAACTGTTACATGTAGGAGAAAATAGAAGCTGAGCATGGTGTTGTACCAAATATCACACGAAGCCAATTGTTGGAAAAATCCCAGAGCATCACATGTAGCTTCATTGCCAAAAGCCCAGACAGCCGTGCCACTTGGCATTAGATATGGCTGAAGGATTAGATGCATACTGCTGAGGATATCACAGGAGCTCAATCCAAGCAGAATTCGTCGATAGGGTGTCTTCTTTTCCGAGGTTAGCACCATGTAAATGATCTGCCCCGATCCTACAATGCTGATGCTTCCTGTGAACAGAGGAAGCAGGGAGAGGATCTTGTCCTGTGTTTCGGTCAGGGTAGACCCGATAGGCGAGGAAGATTCCATGGTGGTACCGGTAGATGATAGTAAGATGCTCAAACTGGCTCCTTGCAAGTAGCTTCATCAAACTCTGATCGCGGATCGCGGATCCATCGAAGGCTTACCAGTATGATAGATAGTAGGTGGTCGTTTGTTGTTGGGGTTGTGGCGAGTGAAATCTCGGCGGAGTGTGGTAAAAGAGAACACACGTCCAAGCAGGAGCGAAGGAGAACTGCGCAATCACGGGTTAAATAGTCGGAAACTGCTCTCTCCAGCTGCAGCGCTGCAGCTGGTCAGATTCAACTTGCAGTACAGTGCTTCAATTAATTAAATCTCAGTGACATCATTCTAATGCTTTTAATTAATGAACAGCTCAAACAGAGAATAAAAGAAGACGCTTTTCTTATTAATTAATCAAATGCCCTGGAAAGTCCCGCAAAAGCGGGAATCGCTGAAAGGATCTGTAAAAGTGTTGAATTTGAGTTCAACAGTGTTGACTTTTGTTAAACAGTTGTTCAACACTTATTTAAACACTTTTTCAACACTTTTTCAACAGTGTTTAACACTGAATTCAACAGATGTTGAATCCATTAGTAGATAGTTACAGTAAAAGTGTTGAAAATAATGTACAAAAATGCAACAGTAAATCCAACAGTTGTTGAAACGGAGTCAACATTAAATCAACAGCTCTTAAACACTTTAATTAACACTTTTTTCAACACTTGTTGGATTTATTCAACAATCAAGCTGTTTAATTAAAGAGTATCGCAAAAACTCAGTTGTCGGATTGAGAAGATTTGACCCCTATTCCTACGTACAGATTTTGCACCTCTTAATTCAATCGCATGTCGCAGGCTGGCGAGCCATCCGGACTTTGCGAATTTTTTCTTCAGACAACAAAAGTGGATGCAAAAACACTCTCTGCACCTCATTTTTTGGCATCCACCATTGTTGTCTTCCGACACAATCGACCTCGAGCGAGCATGGAAAACAGAGACGGAGCCAACCTTTACGATCATTAGCTAGTAATAAAGTATAGATATTGAACATATCTACGTTTTCGAGGATTCGCACGATGGATTACCACTCGTTCTTCGTTCACAATGACGCTTTGCCGTCGATTCTAGCTGCACAATGACGTCCAGAGCTTCCAAGAGGCAGCAGGAAACCAAAGATGCTGTACAGAATGCAGGGATGTTGCTCAAGCTGTCCAAGAAAGGAGGGGGAATGACTGCGCACTCGGCGCTTCGTTTGGCTGGAGTTTCGACAGAAGACAGAGCCAACTGGAATCTTCAGCGAAGAGCTCTTCGTGCAAGAGACAAGCTAGATGATCAGCGGAAAGATCTGGCGACAGAGTTTGATCACGTTAGATTAGAAGACAACGATATGGAGGACGTTAGGCCCTTTCCAGACTCTCAGGAGAGCGTTATTCCCATTGCGCCACAACTCCCCAAAACTCTCAAAATGCGAGCAACATCGAAGCAAGCTGCAGCCAAGCGAAAGGCTGCCGTCCAGCTGAAGGAATTGCGAGGCAAACTCTTTCAGGAGGCAGTAGAAACCCTTCAAGAGGAGGCACAGAAAGAAGAAGAGTTTCGAACGGAAGGCAAAGCATACAAGAAGAAATCAGCAGAGATAATCTGTCAAGAAATCAACGCAACTGAACTGGCTCTGGCTCATGATATCAAGATTGTTGCACGGACCGTCCGGAATGCATTTCAAGAGAACCGAGTTACAATGCAACGGCGTGGAGGGACTATTGGTGAGCTGCCCGAAGAATACTTTCAAGCTTTGTGTAATGCAGTCAAGTCATACAGCCTCCTGTCTGTTCAAGACGGCAAGAAAGTAACCAACTTGAGGCCAAAACTCACCAAAATGATCAACACTTGCATCAACAAGTTTGAGGGAGAAGACAGTCGACGTGGAAGAATCCTGTTCGAAAGAGTGGAGAAGAATCTCGCAGGGGAGCTCAACGTTGGCAAGCCAAACAGAATTGAGCAGCGTCGCAATCAGTATTCCACCTATGGCAATATCAACCAATGGTACACTGGCCTGAAAGAGTTCCTCATTGAGAAAGGATTTGCAAGAGCAGCAGAGGATGGAGACACAGGAGAACTCAACTTCGTCAGTCCAGATCAAGGAGCTCGTATTGCCAATCTGGATGAATCTTCTCTGACTATTGATGATACTGAGAATGGAAAAGGAGGCAGACCAGCCGGGATTCTATAACCCTCGAACGTCGGCTGCTCCGTCTCATGGAGCACACAAGAGCTCCTGGAAGTGCACTCTTGCGGCTGGCTGTTTCGCATCCGGAGAGCCATTTCCTCCACACTTCCAGCTACCGACTGATGCCAAGGATCCAGACAATGAAGGTATCTACGCAGAGTTCATCTTGGACATGCTCGAGGTCAACGCTATTTACCTCAGATCTGAGGTATCCAATTTCACTGGGACATACAATGTCAATGAGAAAGGAAGCATGACCAAAGAAGAGTTCGGAGAATACATCCTGAAGAACTTCCTACCTCTTGTTGCAGACGACTGTGCTGATATCCCTGGGAAGCGCATCATGTTATTGGTTGATGGAGGCCCTGGAAGAACAAATGAAGATATGTTGGCTCAAATGAGGATGAGAGGAATCTATCTGTTTCCGTCTGGCCCACCAAATACAACCCATATCCTTCAGGTACGTGTAAAGTTGTGGCATCATTGAATAGCACTATATCATTTTGCTTTATCTAACGTACGGTGCTCCTCCTTTTCTCGTCTCCAGATTCTTGACATGTTGTTTGGCATGTTCAAAACAGTCTACTTCGATAACCTCGAAAGACTTTGGGAGTATCGACAGAACAACATCAACATTGCCTCAACCATTACACGAAACGATGTTGGATTGCTTTTCTTCGGCAGTCAATACAGCCGGCGTCGAGTAGAAGATCCAACATTTCCCCTGCTCCGCAATGCCTTTGAGCTAGCCTTTTCCACTTCCAGAGTTCGACACTGCTGGAGCCACAAGCTTGGCATCTATCCCTTCTTTACAAGGCAAGCTTTGAAGAGCAAACATGTCCGACATGAGCTTGTTGTTGAAGCTCATGGTGCTGCCGCCGACTTGGCTGCAGATCCAGAGGCGCAACATCTCCGCGATTTGAACTCTCTCAATAGAAAGTCATGCGATGTTCTTGATGCCGGCGGATACAATGGCGGCATCTTCCGGCTGCAGTTGAGTCAGTTCAGTACGGAGGAAAGGCAACAAGCAATCACTCAGCCTCGCTCTCGTGCCCGTCAAGATGCTATTGAAGAGACCAAGGTTGGCGGCGGCAAATTCTTCCTCCGTACGGGCGGCTCTGCTCTTAATGACGATGACATGTTTATTGCCATGGAACGGAAGGGTCTGAAGCAGCAACTCAAGAGCTTGGAAGACCAGAAGAAGCTGCGACTTGAGGCTGCTCAATGCCAGAATATTGCTCTGCAAATCTTGCAAGAAGAGGTTGCCTCCATTGAGGCGTATACGAATCCTCAGCTTCGGCATCTCCTCTGTTGGAAGCTTGGAAGGGACACTTTGCCTGGTGCTCTCAAGAAGAAGCCTGAGAGAGTTGCAGAGTGGAGAGCACTCAAGAACAAAGAGCCTCCGGCGGTGGAGCCATGGACTGATGCCGACGAGGCAAAGCTGTTGGAGGTCAAAGGAAAGATTGATGGCGACATTGAGCTTGGTGATACAGCCTTTGGTCGGCGACGAAGTGCTGAGGTCAATAAGGCAACAAGTCTCATCAGAGGACTTTCCAAGGCCGAGAAGGAGGCATTCTTGGAGCGAATCCAAGAAGACGATGATGATTCCGACTGAGCGACCATGGCCGTGACACTGTGACAGCATGCCACATTGGCTATTCTTGTGTTTGTTGTCATTATAAGGTGTCAACCAAATACCCTGCACAGCCTCACTATCAGTGCTATGAAGTTCCTTGGCAGAGAGGAGGTGCGAGTGTAGCTGTAAGTTGCCATGGTGGCCGATATTAGGTATGACGGTTGTTGTTGCAGTGTCTAATTCAAATCTTTTGGCGCCACCGCGCCTTTTACTAGGCAAAATCTGAGTGTCAGAATTGTCGAAAAAACAGGTGCAAATCTCGTACTGAGCCAGACCCCGCAACATGTTAACATAACACGCACCAAATCACACAACACACACCTTTCCCGTTGGTCTGCTGTTTGTTAGAACTCCCAAATCAGAATGTATGCAACAATGAAGCAGTCGCCGGTGCTAGTAGTAGTATTCGCCATGATCTTGGCACCCGGCTTGGCGTTTACATTGCTGAGTTCTGCCGATGAGAGATCACACAGTCGGCCACGGCTTCTTCCGATGGTACAAGCCACCAAGGGCGAAATCGAGTTTCAATCCGATGAGTCCAATTATGGTCGGGGCGAGATGCATCTCTCGGCAGTGCTTGACATTGGTGATGTAGTCGTCTACCAGACGGGAACTTGGCTGGTCGATGGGGTGCAAGTGGGAGATGGAAGTCCGCCAAAATATGAGTATGGTCTTGTCGAGACCATACAATTGGTTTGGACTCATAACTGTGAGCATGGAGTGATCAGAGCCCTACCGCTGGCACTGTTGGAGGATGGCGAGGCTCAAGTTTTGAGAATTGAAGAAGAAGAATGCATTGAATTTGGTCCAGAGCAACTCGTTGCAAAACTGCCTCTGCAGTGGGATGAGGGAGCCTCTGAAGCAACAGTAGAATCCCCTTTAGAGTTGAGTGAAGAACTATGGGAGCCGATGGCATCGTGAAGTCAACTAGATTGATTGAGTCGAATGAATCAGTCTACAAATAAGCAACATCGCTTTCGCGAAGCCAATGTGTCATGACCAAACTTTTGCTCGATTGCGTCCTTCTTGCGTACCGGTACGGTACATGCCAGCGCCCCACTTGGAATGATTGGGAGAACTTGCTCTCAAAGCTGGTGAAGAGGTTATGAGATGCCATGCAAGCCACCGATAACTACCGGTACTAGGTCTAAGTAAGGTCTAAGGAATCCCAAAAGCAAAACTAAAAGTACTGGTAGTTTCACCTATTTCTATCTGAAAGGCGGTCTTTTGTTTGGCTTCTTTTTGGCTGCAGCGGGGGCGAAAGGATTCGCAGAGGTCGGACTACCTCCCTGTGTCCCCGTACCCTTGCTGTTGCCAAAGACAACTGGTTGGCCCGTGGGAGCGGGTGGAAAGCTCGTGGCAGCAGCCATACGCTCCACATTGCTGCGGCTTCTCGAAATGGGTTGCCGACCTACAGGTTTCTCGTTGGCTTTCCGAGGAGGGACTCGAATGGCTCCTCCTGTCCGATTCCTGGCAGGCGTCTGTCTCACGTGTTCCTTATGGTGGTGATGCCGACCATGGCTGCCACCGCTCCCCAGCTGAAACAACGTCGCGTTAGGAGCAGCCGCGAAACTTGGTGAAGTCGTGGTCGTCTTGTCACCGTACAGTCCGCCCTGTTCGTCGTACACCTTTCGTTTGCCGCGATGGGAATCCGATTGGGAAGCAGCGGCCGTGCCACTCTTCTGGCTTTTGGCCGCCGCTGCCATTACAGCCAGTCCCCCAGAGCTTGTAGTAGGACCGGTTGCTTTAGATTGCGCGCCCTTGTTTGAAGATTTAGAAGACGCAGCCATCGCGGCCAGTCCCCTTGCTGGGGGAGTGCTCTTAGCCGAAGCTGTTTTCGTGGCGGCCATTGCTGCAAGTCCGCCGGATCGTGAACGAACGGCAGGATTGGCTTTGGTGGATCCGGTACTTGACGCTCCAGCGGTTCCCTTGGCAGCAGCCATTGGTGCCAGCCCCCCAGAACGCACTCTACTGGGTGTTGTTGGCTGTGGTTTGCCTTGGTTCTCCTGTACAAAACTAGTTGCATCTGGATTGTAAGAGGTTTCCAGCTGTTTCATAGCTCGTAACGTCTTTTGACTAGGCACTGGCTCTTTCGTTTTCGATTGAGCGGCCATAGTTGCGATGCGTCCACCCGACAGTCCAGAAGTGGGAGACCCGACGTCGCTTTTCTGTCGTGAGGGAGAGCTCTTTGCACCCAATGAAGGGGCTCCAAGACTCTTTTGTCGTGCGGGTGAGCTCTTCGTGGGCGTCGCCGCGAGGCCGCCACTCGGCTGTCGTTGGGATTGCGTCTTTGTGGCCAATGATGCCAGACCACCACTCTGCTGTCGCTGAGGTTGGCTCTTTGCTGCCAACGACGCCAGACCACCACTCTGCTGTCGCTGAGGTTGGTTTTTTGCCGCCAAGGATGCCAACCCGCCACTTTTCTGTCTTTGGGGTTGGCTCTTTGCTGCCATCGCAGCAAGACCTCCGGGAGGAGTTGTGGTACTTTTCTTCTTGGCTGCCAATGCTGCCAAGCCACCGGCAGGTGTAGGCTCATTTTTCTTTTGCGCTGCCATCGCAGCTAGCCCCCCAGATCTAGAGGCTTCTGGTTTCTTCTTTGCTGACATTGCAGCCATAGCTGCCAAGCCACCCGAGGGTTTGGTTGTCGAGTCTTTCTTGTTCTTGGCTGACATTGCAGCCATTCCTGCCAAGCCACCTGCCGGTTTGGTTGTCGAGTCTGTCTTTTTCTTTGATGACATTGCAGCCATTGCTGCCAGTCCACCAGATCTAGTGGCCTCGGGTTTCTTCTTTGCTGACATTGCTGCCATCGCAGCAAGACCACCGGCTGGTTTGGTTGTCGAGTCTGTTTTCTTCTTGGCTGACATTGCTGCCATCGCAGAAAGACCCCCAGAAGGTTTGGTTGCAGAGCCTGTTTTCTTCTTTGCTGACATTGCAGCCATAGCAGCAAGACCACCAGAGGGTTTGTCCGTTTTCTTTTTTGCTGACATTGCAGCCATGGCTGCAAGTCCCCCAGGAGCTTTGGCTGTCCCATCTGGTGCCTTCTTTTTGGCCGCCATTGCTGCCATCGCTGCTATGCCCCCTCCAGATGCTGGTTTTGAATCAGTCTTCTTACTTGCGGCCATTGCGGCCATAGCCGCAATACCACCAATGCCCGATGTCTTCGTTCCTTTTTTGTCCGATCCCTTGCCCTTGCCTCCAGTCTTTTCCGCCGCCATCTTTGCCAAATTTGCCATGGCTTCTTTGCTGGGCAACCCTCCAGCTTGACCAGCCTTGATAGACGACCTGCGCCGTTCTTGCTCTGCACGCTTTGCGCTCCGCTTCTCCTCTTTGATCTGCGTGTACACGAGACGAAAGGGGTAAGACGACAGTTGATGCCCGTATGTTTGGCACTGGTTGTAATACACATACTCTAGCCGCCTCCGTCTTCTCGACTTGATCGCAAGCCTTTTCAAACTCTTCTATGAAGCGCCTCATCACGCCAAAGAACTCGTTGCTGGCCTTCTTTTCGTCCTCTCCGAAGTAAAGCAACAAGCTTTGGTACTTCTTCTTGAGGATCTCGATCTTCTTACTAGCCTGCCCAAGAGCGTCCTGCGAGTTGAGCGCAAATCTTTCCATCGGTGTTCGCCCCGTGTGATGATCAACCTTGTTGAAGTGTGAAACCCCTTCAATGGTGTAGACCGAGGTCTTGAGCTCCTTCAAATCACTCAATGAGAAGGGCTTCAATTCGCCAGCTTTCTCAAGCCTCTCTGCCTCCTCAGCCGCAGTCGCGTGCACTGCCTCCAAGTCGGCTTTGATCGTTTTGATGTCAGATGCCAGCGAATCGAGGATAATGTTCTCTGCATGTCGAACAGTAGCTAGGTCCTCTTGGAAACCCAGAAGACTTTCGTCATTCTTCCGCACCAACTTGGCGAGATACATAAGGACGCTGGTCTTCTTGTCAAACGCTTTGGCCTGAAGAAGGGAACAATGACGGAGGAAAACTATCAGACGGGAAACAGACCACAAATTGACCGTCGAGGCAAGACGATTGAGACGAAGCTTACCTCGTTGAGCTTCAAGAGAGCATCGAGTCCGAATCCTGCCGCCCCGGAGCTCTCCCCACCAGTGTTGATCTGATTCACTAACGTCAGAATCATTGCCATCATTTGTCGGAGCCGATCGGAGTTCCTCGTTTCGTCGCATGCCGTATCCACTGTGGTGATTGCATCCAGAAGATCTTCAAAGCGCACCTTGAACTGGCTTCGAAACAACATACAATCAAACTTTTCGGGCGCCTTGGGTACATCGATCATCGTGTACATGTATTTCTCGCACTCACTCAAATCTTTGTACAGCTGAGCCTTGGCGGCTGGGTCGGTCTCTCCCTTCTTCATATACATTTTCAGCCCCTGGCGTTCGTCCACAGTTGGGAGAAACTCTTTCAGAGCTTTCATTTGGGTGGCGTCAAACTTCTTATGTTGCCTGTTGCAAGAAAAAGAAAAAAAGAGAATCAACGTGAAAAACAGCTCAACATAGTCGGATCAAACCAAGGGAAGGCAGCTTACATCTCATCGACCGATTTGGCGATGATGCTGTACTCCACTTTCATTCGCGCCAAAATGATGCCACCATTCATTGACCTCTTGCCATCAATAACTTGCACACTCTTCTTTTGTTTGCTCGAGTCAGTCTTCTTCCGCTTATTCTTCTTCCGATCAGCTGGATCGGCTGACTCTGTGAACAAGTCTTCAAACTCCTTCACGTCATACTGCAACTTATCCATCGCAACGGACCCTTTCACGAGATTCCAAATAGAGTCCTTATTGATTTGATCCTCATTGATGGGGGTCCAGTAGATCTTCTTTCGGCGAACCTTTTTCTTCTTCTTGCTTGGTGTACGTCGCGAAGCACTACCCCCACCCGATTTCTTCTTTTTCATTTGGAACCCTACCGACTTGTTCGGATCCAAGTCCATCACTGCGGGATCTTTTCCATCACGAGAAAGAGAATTTTTTACTGCATCCTTTGGCAGGCCCATGTTCAACATCTTGAAGTACTTGGAATACTCTGGATCATCCTTGAGAGGAGTACCCGTGTCTTCCTCTTCTTGGCAACCTCCTCCTAACTGGAACTTCACACTCTTCTCAGGGTCTAGATCCATGACAGCTGGATCTTTTCCATCTCGAGCAAGAGCATTCTTGACAGCGTCCTTTGGGAGACCCATGTTCAACATCTTGAAGTACTTGATATGCTCAGGGTCTTCCTTGAGTGGTGGACCGTCATCCCCACCTCCCAACTGAGATTTGACGCTCTTATTTGGATCAAGATCCATGATTGAAGGATCCTTGCCATCTCTTTCTAGGGCATTCTTGACAGCGTCCTTTGGAAGGCCCATATTCAGCATCTTGAAGTACTTGACGTACTCAGGGTCTTCCTTGAGTGGTGGACCATCATCCCCACCTCCCAACTGAGATTTGACGCTCTTATTTGGATCAAGATCCATGATTGAAGGATCCTTGCCATCTCTTTCTAGGGCATTCTTGACTGCATCCTTTGGAAGGCCCATATTCAACATCTTGAAGTACTTTGTATATTCTGGGTCGTCTTTCAATGCTGGGCCTGTGTCACCTTGTTGGGACTTCAAACTCTTTTCGGGGTCCAAGTCAAGAATCTTAGGATCTTTTCCATCTCTTTGCAAGGCATGGCCAACTTGCTCTTTGGCCATGCCCATATTGAGCATACGAAAGTATTTCTTGTATTCTTCGTCTTCTTTGAGGGGAGGGCCATCGTCAGCACCAGATGGTTGTTGAGACTTCAAGCTTTTCTCTGGGTCCAAATCTAGAACGGCTGGGTCTTTTCCATCTCTTTGCACCGCATGGGCAACCTGCTCCTTGGGCATGCCCAGCTTGAGAAGCATTTTGAAGTACTTTTGATATTCCGGATCATCTTTGAGAGGTGGATCAGCGACGGCCTCTTTCTTGGGTGGAGGCCGTTGCGCCAGGAGACTACGTTCTGGGTCCAATTCAATGATTGTGGGATCTTTCTCGTCGCGTGTCATGGCGTGCTGTATCTGCTCCTTCGACATGCCCTGTCAATACCAACAACATAGCAACAGCAAACGCAGGTCAGCACAAAGTACCGAGAGGATGTACCAAACATGTTCCAAGTTCGTACCATTTTGAGCATCTTGAAATACTTTGCATAAACTGGATCTGTACGCAGGGGTCTGTCTTCCTCCTTGTCATCATCGGCGGACGCCTTGCTTTTGGCTAGAGCAGCCATCAGCTTGGCCTGAGGATCGAGGGCCTCGTCGGGGTCCTCGTCCTCCCCTTCTCCCTTCTTTGGGATGATGACGCTAACCCTGGGGCCCTGCTTTTTCCGCAGCAGAGCTTCCTGTAACGCCTTTTGTGCATTTTCGACGGCATTGGGTGTTGTCTTGATGACGGCTTCCTGATCAGCCATGTTGGGTCGCTGCGACGACAGACTTTTCTCTGGGTCCAGATCGGCAATTGTCGAGTCTTTTCCATCTTTCTTCATCATCTCCTTGACCTCTTCTAGCGACGTTCCGGCCCTGAGTCTCTTGAAATACTTGGAGAATTGTGGATGGTCCTTCAATGGTGGCGCCTGTCCCGACGGGCCGGCTTTCTCGTCCGAGCTCTTGCGGGTAAGGCCCTTGCCTATGGCCACGAGGACACCTTCTTCATCTCCAGACTTCTTTTCTTCTTCCAAGAGTGGCAAAGGATGTGGCTTGTTCCAATCTTTCGACTCTTCCAAAAGATTCGTAAGATCCTTGAGTGATATTCCCGGGTGGTCCATCTGCAGCAGCAGCTCGACCGCAGCGGCATTGGCAGGGTCATCCATTGGCGAATACAATTGTTGGTTGTCGTGGTCCGGAAGTTGCACATAGGGCAATTGCGGAAGCGACTCTCCCATCACGAGTGGTCGCGTCGCATCGTATGGTTCAAAATCTGCCAGCGCTTCTCCGTGAATATCTTTGTAATAGTCGCCAAACGCACTCAGAATCTCTCCTTGTCGGGGCATGTTGTGGATAAACGGCGATGCAAACAACAAAGGAGGTTCTGGCTCTTGTTGCTGCTGCTGCTGTTGAAGATGGGATCCTGTGGCTCTGCTGATGAGAGGTGGAGAATCCGGAGACGCTTTGCTCTCTGCTGTTTTCTTCTTGGCACCACCGTCCGCCTTGTTCCTCCTGGGAAGAAATTCGTCAAAGTTGGGAATGTGGGAGAAATCTTGGCCGTCGTCGTCATCGTCAAAAGTGATGGAATCCAAAACATCCAAAATATTCAGCGTCTCTTCCAAGAACAAGTCGCCGTCATCCGGTTGGGCGGATTGTTGTTGAAGTGGGAGCATTGGAGCTGGCGGCGGCGGTGGCTGTAAAATGTTCCACAACTTTGTCATGATGGAATCATCACCCCCCTGGACAACGGATCGTAACGATGCGCGGGCCACCGACACGTCCAGATTGGCATGTTGCAAACACAGCTTCACCATATCAGTCGACAAGGAGGCATGTTCTTGCAGCAATAGTCGTACGTCTCCTTCATTGGGTTGCAGTACGGAATGTTGTTGAAAGAGATGCCATCCTCGTTGAACGGATCGAATATCATCCGGCTGCAAAATGGGTGGCAACCCCTGACACGGTCGATTTAATTTTTCTTGCCAAAACACCTCGCTGACATTCCAATGCGCTTCTACCAGCAGTGTGCATAAAAAGTCGTCCGGGTCAAAGCAATGCGCGTATCGTCGCATCAGATCGACTTGGGAGGGTGGCAACTCGTAGGGTCCTCCGGCTCCCATTCCCACGGTGGTGTTGGCATATCGAAATAGTATTTTGGTGCTGTCCTTGTCCGATCCCGCATGGACCCCACCAAATCGACAGAGCAAACAAAAGTCCCCTTCCAATACGACATTGACGCGATAAAATCCTTCTTCGTCGGCCCACTGTGATTGTGGCGATATTGGTGGTTGTTGTTTGGAGGCGTGATGATGCCGATTCTTGGGTGTCGTGTTGTTGCTGTTATTGTGAAAAGATACGAGATGATTGTCGTCATCATCATCGTCCCCCTCCGGTAGGGGTGTCCGTTGTGCTTCTTCCAGGAGCGGCGACGGTCGCAACACGCTCGGTGACGGTGGAGGCGGCGATGCCAGCGGTAAGGATTCGACCATGTAGGCGCCACCACTGGTGTCCACCAGATCGGTCCACAATTCTGGATGACTGCTGTAGACATGCCGTTGATGTCCATCCCAGATATCCAAACAGGGTTTGTCTTCGACGGGGATCCCCTGGAGTGCAATCGCTCTTAGTAGCAATGGTTTGGGATTTCGATACTCTCCCCATTGGATTACCGTTTGATCAAAATTGCGTGCAAATGTGTGCAAGGACGGTGGACAGGCATTCCATAGTTCCAGGGCGTCGTCTGCTGTTGCTGCCATGCCGGTGTGTTGTACAAAGTGGCAGAAACCGTCTCGACACGTGCGAGAGTGTCGGGTAAATGTCAAGTAGGCGGCTACCACGAGTGCACTGCGTGTCTTGCCATTGTCACAATAGATAATGGCCGTATGATTGTTGGGACGAAGTGTCAAGTAGGCATGGAGTGTATAGATAATTTCCAGCAAGGCGCTCAAACTGGGTGTTTCACTCCGGGGTGAACTGGGACTCTGCCAAGGACAATGGACAATTCTTCCTTGTAAGGCTCGTACAATGGTATCTTCGGCGGGCACGTCCGTGACATTAAATACAGTGTAATCCTGCTGTTGTTCCAAACATTCTGCCAAGACTACGACATCGTTGCGATGGGGTACTACGGTCGGTTCAAAAGGGAGTTTATTGTCGGCAGTGTCCTCGTGTTCAGCCGACTCGTGCTTGTGCTTGTCGAAATAGCACTTGGCAGTCCAGGCATCCACGGTCGGTTGCGGCATGACCCACAGACGGTCTGTCACGTAGTGTAAATCCAGAGATGATGGAATGGGAGGAGGATCCTTTTCCTCCTCTTTGATAGTGGTAGAAGGGGTAGTACCTGTAGTGATGTCATTGTTGCTGGATTTCGTCGCTTCCACTTTTTCCTGGACTCTCCGCTTGCTGGGGATGTTTTCTTTTCCTTCAGCCGTTGCTGTCTTCACGGCGACGCGAACATCACTGACCACTTCTTTCGAAATCTCCTTGGCAACACTTGTCACCGTAGACACCAAATCTGAAAGATCGCCCAAAAATGATACCATGATGCCCTCTTCCTAGATTCGATTCGACTCTTCTTGTGCTCTAACTGCTGTCTGCTATCAAAGTCGTTCCTTCTCGGGTGCTAGATAGCTATTAATAGTCTCGTAGTCATGCTACTACGGTGTTCTCGCTCTTCTACCCTTGCCATGGGCAGTCCTCATGATGTGTTGTGTTGGCTCGTCTTTTCAATTGCGTGTCGTGTCGTCGCGGTTGCGGATTAGTGCTAAGGACAAACATTCAATCGGCTCAATCGAATGTCATTGTCAGATTCGATTGATCATTCGATTGTAATCGAATCGATTGATTGAAAAGTCGTCTCAGCTAGCTACCGGTAGCTAGCTCTCTGGCTAGCTAGCTAGTAGTACATTTAGTCCATTATCATGGGTAGCATCCATTGTAGAGAAAGCCGGATCCTTGTATCCTAAAAGTTGTCCCGGTTGTGTCCAAGTCACTTCAGCTCTCCTCTCCCTGCAGCCCCTCTCGAATTCATCTATGACAGACTGCAGATTCTTTATATTAGTTGTGGTACCAGCAAGTGGTAGTTTGATTCATAGTCATTGTAGAGCAAGCTCTGGCATGTAAGCCCTCGTCATGACCATGTGCGACGAAGAGGTTACAACGGTACGGGCTGTGGGTCAGATACTGTAGCATCGAATGGAACCGTATGCAAACTCAAACGGAAGTAATATGCATTGGTTTAATCATTTTGGTGTCCTCAATTTTCTGCTTTGGTTAATAAAGTAAGTACACTGCAAATATCTAATAGCTAGCTAGCCAGCCAGCCGACTGGCTGGCAAAAGAATGAAAACGACCTGTCCTTCCTGCTTTCTTCCCGTCATTTTCTCCCTTGCAATGTATATATTTCATCATCATTTGTCCTTGGCACTATTGCTGCCCTGTTCCTCCCTCCAAATTTTCCGATAGAGAAATTTGGGTAGGTAGCCCCAATAGGTTGGATATTGCCGTTTCACACTCATATTGTTGATAATGGTTGCCGGAATGACGGAAACCACACTGCAAAGTACGACAATGGCGTAAAAGTATGCATCATGCTTATTGTCGGCCCAAATGGTGGCATGAGCTCCTGCCGGTGGATGCGTGACCCCCGCAGCCGTCATGGCGGCAATTCCAAAGGCCGGTCCAAACGCCCGTCGCAACCATTGGGGCATGGGCAGGTAACTCAAAGCGAGCGAGACACCTCCCGCAATGGCTTCACCGAGAATGACATTGCGCGGTTGGGATGCGGGTGCCGATGGAAGTGCATACAGTAACGTCATCCTGCATGCACCGTACGCACCGCCCAGCATTAGAGAATGAATGAATGAATGACAGTCAACACGAAACAATAAAACGGATTGGTGAGCAATACGGTAGAGCCTAGCGAAGGAATCAAGGAGATTTTCAACGTACATGGCTCCAAATGGCCCAATGACAAGGGAATACTCTCCTTCTGTGAAATGAACAAAGAACTCATTGATAGCACTCAAGGTGAGCAATCCACAAAAGGCACCCAACCAAGTCCATGCCACTTGCTGCAGTTCCATGGGAGGTGGTATCTGTAGGCCGGCACCCCAGCATTTGTGGTACCATGCGAGTGCACGGTCGGTGAATTCCGTCACGCAGGTAGTAGTCGTCGCTGTCTCTTCTTCTTTCGTCACGGCTACTTGGTGTGCCTCTTCCTCGTCGCTGGGCTTTGACTGTGACTGTTGGCATGATCGCTGGCTACGATATGCCACACATGCATGTTGCGCTTCCGTCATGGCCACAATGGATCCAATATAAGAGGCACATCGCGTCAAGTAAATGGTGTTGGGCAATGACTGTAGCGATGCCTTGTCCGCGGTATTCAAACTATAAAAGACCACCATTCCCTTGACACCGTCGCAATCGAATGGAATCCCTGCGGCCCGCGAGAGCTGCAACTCCAAGTGTTCCTTTACTCGGGCACACGCCCACGTGTCGGGATCTTGGTCAATGGACGCCAAATCACGCCACCGCAAGACTTTTCCTCGACGGGTGTCATCATCATCATCGTCTGCCGTCGTGACAGCTCCTGACCCGGGTGCTTCCGGTGGTGGATTGTTATTGTCGTCGTCGTCTCCTTTTGTTGGTTGACTGTTATTATTGTCTGGCTTGCCACCACTGCTACTACCTCGCATCGTTTTGCGTCGCTCCTTGTGAAACGTAGAAGACCAAAGGGTTCCTACCAACCCAGTGCCTGGAATGACCGGATCTGGTTTCATTGTTTCTTCTTCTGTCTCTTCCTCTGCTCCACTCGTAGTAGTCCTCCACATGTCCAACCATTCCAAGTCGCCCAATCGATCCCGGTACCGGTACACCTCGCAGGCACCTAAGCCTTCTGCCTGTTCGACGGCATCTCGTAGGGCCGCCTGGAGTCGTCGCTTTTCTTTGGCGTCACCATTATGAGGAAGTTGCTCGTCGTAGACTGCCGCCAATTTCTGAATGTAGCTGTGACGATGGTTGTATGCCGAAGAAGATTCGCCCAAAGACGATCGCACACTGCTGGCAAACAAACGGGTGGAACTCATGGTAATAGATACAGAAGATAAGACTTGCTTGACATTGATCTTGAGATAGCTACCTACCGAATGCCTCTGTTGGGCGTGGATAGTGGCGGTGGGACCATCATCATGGTGTCATGGAGGGCAGAGAAAAATTCCGGAACATGTCTCATTTTTGTTGACACCGTGACGATTGAATAGAGTAATGATTGAATGTACCGGTACGTACCGTACAGTGTATTGGGGTGTCCACCAAATCGGTTCCGTGAAACGTCCGAATTTTTGATCGATCGAATTTAAAATATTTTGAAACTCAGTTAAAACGCAGTTATACCCCGACTGATAATAGACGATAGAAGCAAGCTAGAAAAAAATAACAAAATTTTATTTTAAAGGCTACACCTCGTCAGACGATCCGCTGAACGGTGCCGTGACGAACCCATATTCCTCAGGCGCACGAGGGCGCCCACTTAGGATGGGCCTCTAGAGTGTAAGCCCCCCACCGGAGAAATTGAACAAAACTCCGGAGGGTGCTGTACGACTAACTATCTACGCTAGGCTAAATCGCCCGCTATTGCTATGGGAGTCCCACACCGGCGCATAGTTACCCTGATTGGGAAGGCTGCTCACGTGCATGCTCATCCCTCATTGCTTTGTCCACAACTGGAAGCCAATTTGCCAGCCATGCTTTGATATCCCCCGGCCCTTTGGCCATCTGTTCCTCCAGGGGTCGTTTGAAGATGGTATCAAGGAGATGCTCTGGGAGCAAGTCCGTTGGAGCTCAACCTCTCGTTGGAGCTGTTCGTGTTTCTTGCGCCATTTCTGTTCCTGATCCCGGCCGTGCCTGGCGGCATTGCGGTCCTCCCAGAGATTCCACCACTGCTGGATCAGAACAGAAGCCAGATTGGTGACCCAAAGCTGCCCAGTTTTGGTGGTCTCCTTGGAGCCGACCCGATGCAAATAGGCATCTTGGTGCTTGGCCCAATGCTTGGACAAACGTCCTCTCAGGAAATTATCCCAACCAATGAGATTTTGAGTGTCAACAAGGTCCCTATACCTTTCTGGGTAATGCCACGGGTGTAGGAACCGGTCTTCAAAGTGGTATTGAAGTCCATCAAGAACAATTTCCAGGAGGAAGGGGTCTGTGGAATCCTTTCGCAACTTTGTACTGATTGCTCGTTGCATGATTCCTTGCCACAAATCCACGTCAACATGCGGGAGAAGCAAGCTAGACCAATGTTTTCTATACATGAATGGATAGTAGAGGCTGTCGGCTTGTCATATGGGTTGTTACTAATACCTACATGTAAATCATTCCAATCCGGTTGCTTGATGAGTTACTCTACTAGTGTTTGCTCTACTATCGTTGTCACATGACAACTTAATTGTCACATGACATCTACAGATATGAATATAGTATATCGGTTTTCTCCATACGAACCATCCATTCCAACCGTTGCGCTCTAAACTCGATACTATAGTTAACGTCATGTGTGAATTTGGCCGGGTTTCCTCGGCTTCATCGCTGGATATGAAGATAGTAGGTAGGCTTGATCGGTTGTCGCAATCGTGCGACAAAAAAATCATTATTTTCGTTTTCCTCTTCGGTGAGTAAGAAAGAAGATAGAAGATGGTGCTTTCGGCCTCGTATTCCAGCGCACTAACACTCTTGTTTCCTCCACTGTTGTTACCATGCCAGGGCCTGATCCTCGTAGAGTAGTTGGTGGCCACTGCTGGGCCCATGCCATCGCTGTGTCGCGAGATGCAAAGAGAATTTATGGATCGCTATCAGCAAGACTTGGCTCAAGGGCAATGTATTGTCTGTTTCATCAGAGTTGTCCAAGCCAACAGCGAAGAGAGCAACCACCTTCATTACTGCAGAGTATGTTGTTGGGGAGGAGCGCAAAATCAGGAAGCTGTCGCTTCAGACTCTCAAGGAAAAGAATCCAGAGGCACCAATCGTGGAAACTGTCAACAATGACAATGACGCTTCCGCTGCCGCTCCGCCGCCTCCTCCTCCACCACCACCACCACCACTGTCGCCGCTGCTGTCAGGCACTGCAACAGCTGCCGCAGCCTCCTCTACTGCCACTGCTGCCGCTGCATCCAGTCGTGACGAGAATCCATTATCTTCGCCAAATTCCAACAACACAAGTCCAGCATCCAGCACCACGACTGCTCCTGTTCCTGTGAGTGTAAACCATGGCCGCGAGTGGTTTGAGGGAGTCACTGATGTTGATGTCAACGTCCTGTTCCAGCAAAGTTTTGGACTATGACTGATCAGTACAGTGGTCGGGAGTTTTCGCCAGGATGCGATGATCATGCTGAGAAGCAGTACACCCCATTCGACTTTTTCATGGCCTGTTTTCCCAAAGAACAGTTGAAGGCAATGATTGACAGCACCAACGAGAAGCTCCGACTTGCACAGAAACCTGCCACCTCGATGGGAGAAGTGTTGAAGTGGTTGGGCATCTGCATCCTGATTACCCGATTCGAGTTTGGTGAGCGTGGAAGCCTTTGGGCGCAGAAGACTGGGAATAAGTACATTCCTCCACCTGCAATTGGCAAGAAGAGCAATAAGTTTCTTGAAGGATCAGTTCCAATACTGAAGTAGTGGACTGGGTCTCACTGAAACCCTTCCTCAGGGACAGCGGTAGTCAGGCAGTCCATGTCAACACATCATCATACGCAGTCAAAGGCGCCTTGTTCTTTCGAAGGATATCCATCAATTTGACACCCCGAGCCTGTTTCTTATCCAAGGGGAGGAACGTCTTCTTTGAATCTGCACAATATTGCCGGATTGGTTGATGTTCCTATCGTCTGGAGGTTCATTGTCATGGTTCCATTCCTTGGGAATTTGTACCAGGGTAGCTGTTGATCCACCACTGCTGGTCTCATATCATCTTCATTACTATCATCATCATCTGTGTCTTCTTGCGAATCGTCGTCACTTCCTTCCTCATCAGTTGCCTCTATGGCTCCTCATCTGCCTCCTCTTTTGCTTCCTCATTGCCGTCATCTCGGGTACCAAACCGCGGGTCAGCTGCTGGTTTTCTATTGTCTTCCTCGCTTTCAGAACCAATACCACCACCATCTTGCATGGCCCAAGCAATTTGATCTTCCTCCACCATGTCTTGTGGAATGGCTGGCATTTGACTTGATGTGCCTCTCTCCTCTCCTGCAGATCTTCTAACTTGCCGTGGTGCTTTAGCGGGTCTTCCAGTCGTGTCAGTGGCACCAAGCCCTGCAGTAGTCATGTCCCTTTTTCTCCTAGTACTAGTACTTCTTGTTGCTTTGCCAATGCCAAGTGAAATCTGCCTTGCTGCAATGCAACTCCGAGATTGGTTGGTGTGAGCACTTAGTGCCCTCTTGCTTTCAAACCAAGCTTTACAGTAGTCGCAATACCAATAACCCATGATACAACTAGTAGTAGTAGCTAGCTAGTAGTAATTGCCGATCGCTAGCCCGTATAAAGGAACTGTAATACCTTAGGCAAAGTCTACACGACCTTACAAAATGTGAGTGTGGTTACCAAAAGCTAACCCCCAAACCGCTCTGTACCGGATTCTGTATGTAGTTTCCATGTTCATTGGTATGGCATAGGGGACAAAACGGGACCACAAAATTGGTCGGTACCTATGGGGTTGGGAATTTAGGATGCATGCAGGGTTCCAAAACGGTGCATACTGCCACACCCAATGGAGAACCCAGTACATGTTCCACAACAAACACCATCCAAATCCGGGAGCAATGACGTCACCAATCGCCTAGGGACGCATGTCGTTCGGTACCTTCCAGACCTCGCTGTTTTCGCGAGACCCCATTATGCGCTTCTTAGATGCAGAATCTTGTTGCCGAGCCCCCATTATTCTGGCCAGTTCGACTATAGCCACATTTTCTTCCCCGTATTCTGCCGTTTTTTTGGTGGCTAGATCAGGCTGTGGGCCTTTCACTGCTGTGCCTCCTACTGCTCCTGTTTTGTGTGGGTGTGGGCTTTTCTCTGTTGTTCGGAAAAAATCTAGTGTGTGCTGTTGTTGGCTTTGGGTGGCCTCCGAATCTTTTGTTGGAGGTTCTACAATTTTTTGCAGGTCAAGAGGATCCAATCCTTCTTCCAAAGAAGCTTCATCTCTATTCTCCTGCTGTTCTTCTTCCTTCTGTTCCTGCTCTGGGTTGTTGGGAGAACCCAGCTTGCTAGCCTCCTCTTCCATTGTCGTGGTTTCTGATTGTTGGATGGCTAGAGCTTGAGTTTGATTGCAGTTACAGTACTCCTTGTGTGCTTGGTTTGTGAAGACTTGTGTTAGTGAATCGACTTTATGGATGGATGGGGCTGCAATTGCTGCACAGCTATAGGCACATGTTCATTCCTGGCAATGCAAAAGCCTGAATAAAGCAGGCTAACAAAATCCTGAATAAACCGGGCCAACAAATCCTGAATAAACCTGGTCGGTTGGCCATCCTCATCCATGGATACCGGTACCAGTACATGTTTCGATAGCTCAGCATTCTAACTATAAGCCAGCTCAACAGGGTGGACACTATCGATGTTTCTTCGATCGACGATGGATGGTTGACTGCGGAGTGCCAAGGGGCGACCATGCATTATTCATGCGACCATGATGCCTCGGATCCTCTTCCATGGAGCGATGTCTCTACTGTTGATACTAGCAATGAAACAAGAGGACACCTCTTTCGGTCGGAGCGAACGACGTAAAGACTGATACGTGGATTGGCTCATCCAACGACGCCATACCACGACGACGCAATGAGCCTACTATAGATACACCTACTATAAGTTCAAGTGCAGGCTACCAGCCACTACAACATCCTTTGTGGAACCGGAAGGACACTACTAGTATAGCTACAGATGTCGCTCGAAAAGTTTAGCAAGCATCGATCGAGGTGTCAAAGAAGCAGCCATTGTCTCCAAGACTGAACGGAGGCTTTATGCATGGCTCTACGGACGAACCAGGATGAATCTTTCTACTCACGGTCGATCGCAAGCCACCGCAGCTGAGTAACATGCATTTACTTGCCCTTGTGAAAGCTACCCATTTATGTCTCCGTGGATCCCGCAAAGCCAAACCCTTTGCCCCCCGTAATGGTCCTCAATTTCTTGCCCCTGATCCCTCAGAACCTAGTCCTGAATTTCGACTGTTCTTTGCTTAAGCCTGGCCCCGGCTGGCTTCCGTAGATAATTTCCCTACTCTAAACCCCCTTATATATATTTACTTGCCCTGAATATTACTAGTAGGTGCATTTGCCCATGCATGGCGCACCTCGGGCTCTCGCTATATGTTTGCCAGCGTTTCCATGGCATCCCTACCATACTCGATGCATTTCTGGTTTGGCATCATCTGCCAAAGTATCCTACAAGAATGCCAGTCGGCAAAAGGGGACAGTCACACCAAAGAAACTGGATTGAGGCTACCCGGCTCGATCACTTGCCCGCGTGGAAGCGGAAAAGGTACCGGACTACTCATGGATCTCCCCCCCCCCAAAGCAACCCTGCTCGTATCAATGGATATGTAGACAATCAGAAGTCTTAGTAAGAAACAAGCAAACAAAAGAATCAAAAACGTACTGGATCAGGAGCGAGTGTTGTGATAGACAAGCCAGCTAGTAGTGCAATCGTCGCGGTAATTATAAAAAAGTAGAATGAAAACAAAAAATCTATTGACGGCCAAGTATTGCAGCTACATGTACACGGACTCTTGTTGCTCCTGTATCCTATACCCTTGTGAGAATATTTTTGCCCCAATCGATCTCGATAGTTGAGACCAAATCATCCGGACTTCGCCAACTCAGCACCAGCAGGACGCTGGTCGTCACGTATCCCAGTCATGTGGTTCATGCTTCAGTTTGGTTCCCCTCAGTTTGGTTTGCCCCACTCAGTAACTGATCATCTTCATTGGTAGTCTCTTCCTCCAGGATCAGTGATGTTCTATTGTCTGAACAGTTACACCAGTCACATCCACAGAGCTGGCTGCTGCAGTCAAACGTAAGATCGTTGGCAGAACACAAGCTCTCAGGGATAATGCCAGACAGATCATTTCCATGCAAATAGACTTGACCATAAGGTGCAGGGAAAGGAACATTGCCAAGCTCCAGGGGCACCGTTCCAGTCAAATCATTGTCATGTAGAAACAACTGCAATAAACCATGGGTAAGCAGTCCGAGCTCTGTAGGAATGGTTCCAGTGAGGTCATTGATTTCCATGTTCAACCAAATCACTTCCTCACACAATCCAAATTCACTTAGGATTGTGCCCGACAAAATATTCACACCAAGCCACAATGACCCCAACTTTGTTAGAAGGCCAAGTTCTGTTGGGATCTGAAGGGGAGAGGACAAAACCATGGACTTCATGTCAGAAGAAGAAGAAACCAACAGGACTGGCATGAAAATGACGTACAGTCCCAGTAAAAGAGCTCCTCTCCAGAAGCAATGAATCCAGGGATTTCAGGTTCCCAAGCCAGCTAGGGATTGTCCCCACAAGTACCATGTCTGTAAGAACTGCAAGCTCATCTGGGATCTACCAGAATGTGCTTGTAAGATCTCAAAATTACACAAACAAGGAGAATTAACCGATGTCATTGTCAAAACTTACAGAGCCACTCAGAATTAGGTTATTCAGGAACAAGCCCTCCAAGAGAGTCAATCTGCCAAGTTCCGTGGGAATTGTCCCTGTGAAAAGGTTGGTGTCAAATGCAACACCCCCCAAAGCTGTCAGCAATCCCAGTTCTGTTGGTACCTATAACATCAGACACAGTACCGGACATAAATAGTCAGTACAACCAAAACAGCACAATTTAGTCACCTTGTTTACATACTGGTCCTGTAATCAGATTTTCAGTAAGAACAATGCCTCTCATCGAGTTTGTAAGGGCATACAGGGATGATGGAATCTGGAAAGACAGCAATTCAAGGTGAAGCAATGGCAAGGTGAGATATAGCACTTAGATACTCCATGTGCTATCACTTACAGTTCCAGTCAAAGAATTGAAGCCCAAGTAGAAATGTTCAAGATTGGCCAATTGTCCTATTGTCTCAGGAATGGACCCATAAAGGCCACAATCGTTCATGGAAACATACTCCAAATTTGCAAGGCCAGAGAGCTCTTCGGGGATTGTGCCGGTAAGGTCGAATCCATCCAATGCCAAGCTCCTAAGTTCTGTAAGCATATAGAACTCTGGTGGAATCCCTGATCCCACCATGCCATTAAAGGAAAGCCAAAAGTGCTTGATGATTCCATCTCCCTGATACAAGATGCCATCCTCTAGATATCCAGCTGGATCTTGCTCACAGGGACCAATGTGATCCAGTGGGAAATATATGTTTGCCTCAAAAAAGAAATACCAATCCTCCAAACCTGAATACCAAAGACACTCATGAACACTGTGGTTTAGCCAACTGTCACTAAAGTACCATCGTTGTTCGCTGTTGGCAAAATAGAATGTTGCTAGTACAAAACGTTGTACAACTCTCTGTTCTGTGAGGTTGTGTAGGATGTCGATCTCTTCCACGAGCCATTCAAATGCCATTGACTGTGGTGATTCTGGGTTCTCCTGGATTGCTGCCACTGTTGATTCAGGGAACAGTGACAGCCAGTATTCTGAATAAGACGATGGACCCTGAGATGGGTTGCTGCGGGGCAACTCACTAGGCATGGGTGTTGGAACAATATCTGCACCATTCTCTTGACGTCGAGGAATCAGGATGGCTACCAAAATGAGAATGATGGCCAACAAGACGATGACTCCCAAGAGTACCTTCGTTTTGAATTGCTTCATTCTCTCTTCTCTGTTTGTGTTCTCGTTTTCCAGATTGTAATCTTGAGCCTGGGGCAGATCTTGAGGGGTTGTTTCATCTTGAATCAAGTTTGCCACAGCCAAACCACTATTTTCAATTTCTGGTTCAATCCTACCGGTAGGTGGTCCAGTAGTCGTGGGTTCGATATCCGTCTCTGCTGGCTCCAAATTTTCCTCTGTTGCTTGATTTCCTCCACCTGGGTAGGCTCCTGGTTGTACTTGGGCCCTTCTGTTGGCCATAGTCCGTTCCAATGGAGGCAAAGGCATAATTCCGTGAGTGTTATCATTTTGTACTGTATCCTCGGGAGCTACATTGGTGTTAGTGTCCACGAGTTCAATTCGGGTGTTGTCCTGTTCTGGAGTGGCAGTATCTTCACCTTGGTAGAGACCAGAATCTTGGAGTCGAGCCTCCATTATTCTGGCCAGTTCGACCATTGCTACATTTTCTTCCCTGTATTCTGCCTTTTTTTGGCTAGGTCAGGCTGTGGGCCTTTGGCCAGTACTGCTCCTATTTTGTGTGGGTGTGGGCTTTTCTCTGTTTCGAGAAAATCTAGTGTGTGCTGTTGGTTGCTTATTGGGATGGCATCATTGGAATCTTGTAGCCGAGCTTCCACAATCTCTTGCAGGTCGAGAGGATCCAATCATTCTTCGGAAGAAGCTTCATCGTCATTCTCTTGCTGCTGTTCTTCTTCCTTCGGTTCCTGTTCCTGTTGTCCCTCCTCTTGTTCCTGCTCTGGGTTGTTGGGAGAACCCAGGTGTCCTCGTTTACCAGCCTCTTCTTCCGTTGTCATGGTTTCTCAGGGTTTGATGGCTAGAATTGGGTCAGCGTCTGATTGAGTGGTCTAAGGGCGATGGTGATACTTTGAAGTTGTGTATATAGTTGGGATAACAGAGAAGGTTATTCTGTTGTCTTTATGTTTTAAGAGGTGCATCGTCGTCGGCGCAGCATATGGTTTTGGGATCGCAGAGTTCTCGATCATGCACATGTGCATGCAGTCGGAGCAGAACGGCTGCATGCCTTATTCCGGAAGATATGTTTAGAAGGGTAGTTGCAATAAAGCTAGGGTTAAAGCTATGACTTACTCTGCATTTTTGTAGAACATTTTTTATTTACCGCAACTACCTCAACACCAAAGTTCTATCTATTCACGGTTGATCGCAAGCCACCGCAGAGATTTACTTGCCTCCCGTGATTTACAGGCTGTATCGAAGCTATTGACGCAAACGCAAGCACGGTCCCGCTAGGACATTTGAATGCGAACTACGACATCAGGACTAAAAGACTTAATTTACTGAGAAAAGACTTAGAGGATTACATCCTGGGCTCCCAGCCACCCGTACCTTCTTTAAAATTTTCATTATCCAACTTTACCTGTACGAAGTGCTCTATTGACTGACACTCTATCACGATGATGCTATCTCCTCTACAGCGGCTACTCCTCTCAACAAAGGCTACTACTCACCACCATGACAGGCTCCTCTTGTTTGGCTAGCGGCAGTGGCAGCCGTTCGACGATCGGTCGACGACAGGAGACGGATCGATTCGGTGGGTCACTTCGATCTTCTTCCACGGAGCGACCATGACATGGAGCGATCGATCGGAGCGACCATGGCGAGTGACGGAGCCTCTTTCACGGAGCGACCATGGCGCTATTACCACGGAGGAAACGAGAAACTAGCGGCTGCTACTAATGCAGCGACGCCTCGACAATCGACGGATCGATCGATGACTGATAGATTCAATCATTCGGCGAGCAACCATTACGCCTCCTCTTCCACGAAGCGGCCAGGAAGCCTCTGCTAGTGACACTACAAAAGCAACAAGCGGCAGCTCCTCTACTACTGCTGTCGACTGATTACAAACAGGAAATCTGCTCAATTTTGTGGCCATCGAGTCAACAATTCTCCTTTAAATCTCTGGGATGGGTACTCCAGTCTTCATGAAAAGCCAACCATCCATTTGCATGGCTCTACAAAAAAAACTGAACGTCTAATAACGGATTCAGACGAGATGTGCTTGAGGACTACCCACGAGCTAGGGCTCGGGTATTTCCCACAGTCAAGTCTGCTCACCGGCCACACTGGCCTCCTGAGAGGGTGCGACGCCTGTTAGCTATCTAAGGATTTGTACACTGAGGTCAGAGCCATGATTCACCACAAATCACGAGCTCTGTGTTGAAGAGAGTTGGGGTTGGTAAAGAAGTTTGAGGGGGTAGGAGGGGTAAGGAAAAGGGATGGTAGGATGTCCGACTATCCTGTTTCCAGGCTGTGGTGTAGTGACTCTTGTAACACAGGTTCCCATGTTTCAAAAATTGAATGATGACTGGTGTATTCAGTTGCATGCGCGATTCGAGTTGTATCTGGAATAGCCATTCCAAATGTTCGGGGACTTCTTGCTGGTATGCTTCGTAGAACTGAGTGAGTTGTCGGATTGCTTGTGCTTTCTTTGCTTGTGACTTGGTTCTCATGTCTGCCCATGTCTGTCTTGGTTGCGCATGTCCAGAGTTTCCACCATTCTTTATAGATAATGTCAATGAGTCCAGTGAGCATGTGAGTCCATTGTTGCGTTTGGTTGCGAGTCTTTTTCATGTTCAAATATCGGTCTTGTTCCTGACTGAATTGTTTAGAGATTCTCCCCTTTAACAGATGATGCCATCCAATGGCATCTTTGTGCTTGTTTCAGTGTGTCCCATGGAAGATCTTCTTGGATTGTTGTTGGGTTTTGTGATGTAAACATACTTTGAGGCCTGATAGGAGAAGCCCCTGGATTTTTGGAGAGGTGTCCTTTTTCTGGACTATGCTAGGACTGCACTGTAGCATTTCTCGCGCCATTTGATTCTTTCAGGGCTGCTGCATTCCATCAGATGGTGCCTTGTTTCTGAAGGGTTTTTGCATGATGGGCATCCTGCATAATATTTGGGGTTTGTTTTATGAGGAATGCTCCAACAGGTAGGACTTTGTTGAGGTATTTGACCATTGTTGGACGATGATTATCGTGTCTTCGCAAAGCTCTTCCATGTGCGGTCCAGTCAATGTCTTTGAATGTGTCTTCTGACCAGTTGTAGTCTTTCATCAATTTCTGTTTTAGCAGTGGGTAGGTTCTGGCACATTTCAGCTCTTGTTTGAGATTGAATGTGACTGTTCCTTGTTTCAGTTCAACTTGGCATCCACTGGTGGGTAAGATGGGAACTCTGGTGGAAGTCGGTGTCCGAGTGAGCTTGGAGCCATGTGTCGGCTAGCTTATCGGCATCTACATTCAGCTGAGCTTTCAGCGGGAGTTGGTCATATGGTTTGTTTTCGTCTTGATGTCCCTTTATGTGATGGTATTGAGGGCCTGGATGCTTCGTCGAGGTCTTCTAACATTGTGTTTCTGATTTCTGCAATGATTTCCCACTCAGAGCCCAGTTTGGTGTTGGGGTAAATGATGCTCTGTCAGGA